GGAGCGACAAGTTGCACGACACTCTTTGGGCATACAGAACTGCATTCAAGACCCCTATAGGTACTACTCCGTATAGGCTCGTGTACGGAAAAACATGTCATCTCCCGGTCGAACTGGAATATAAGGCATATTGGGCTATTAAGGAGCTCAATCTAGATGCCAAACTAGCGGGAGAAAAGAGGTTACTTCAACTTAATCAACTCGATGAGTTTAGGTTGACGTCCTATGATAGTGCTCGAGTCTACAAAGAGAAGACGAAGAAGTGGCACGACAAGATGATCCTTCCGAGAGAATTCAAAGAGGGTGATAAAGTGTTACTATTCAACTCACGACTTAAACTTTTCCCAGGAAAGTTAAGGTCAAGGTGGCCGGGTCCTTTTATCGTAAAAAGAGCCAACAAATTCGGTTCTGTGGAAGTTTTCGACGAACATGGTAACGAGTTCAAGGTTAATGGCCAAAGACTCAAGCTATATCATGAGGGGGCTACAATTGGTGCGGTTGATATACTTCACCTAAGTAGTTCCGATTCACTCTGAGTTTCACTGTAGTAAGAGGGTCGTGCGGCACCTAGATAAACCAGCGCTTTGCGGGAGGCAACCCGTATTTCTTTCTTTTTGGACTAGTTTTCCTTTTTATTTATTTTTATTTGAGAGAGGCGAGGAGAGTGAAATTTTACCGTTTATAAGTGTTTTTGTACAGGTATAGGTTTAAGAGGTTAAAAGACTTAGAAGAATTTGAAGACGAAGAAAAGCAAAGGAAACCGACTGGGCACGGGCCCGATCGGGCGCGCAAGGAAGGTGCAATTTCAGCCTTAAATCCGCCCGATCGGGCGCGCAAAGAGAGCTGGAAAGTCGAGCAAATTTCGCCCGATCGGGCGCAAATCGAGTGAAGGAAAAGATATGTCGGGCGAAGCTCGCCCGATCGGGCGAACCATAGGGCGAATTTTTCGTTCGTGTTCGCGCCCGATCGGGCGCGCAACTACAATTCTGGAAATTCAGATTATCCGCCCGATCGGGCAAGGCTTGCCCGATCGGGCGCGCTTATTTTGGCCGTCCCCTTATATTTTTTCTTCTTCTTTCTTTCCTCACTTTCTTCTTATTTCATCTTCTTCTCCTTCACTTTCTCTCTCTAAAACCTCCATTTTTACACCTTCAAACTCACTTATTTTTCAAGATCTTCTCCAATCCTTCCATCAAAACTCAATTTTTTTTACATATTTTCAATCCTTTCATCTTTCTCTACAATCTACACCCAATTTCTACCATTTTCTCTCAATTTTCTCTAAACCCTAAGAGAAAGAAACCATTCAATTCCTACACTTTCTAATCTTAATGACTTTCAAGAGATCAAGAACGGTAAGAGGGGAAGGCTCAAGGCAACAAGAGGCGAGAATCGACCCGGAATTGCAAATTCCGGTATGGGAGAGGGTGGTCATCACCACCCAAGAGCAAAAACAGAGGATGCTCAACCTCATTACGAGGCAGGTAATTCCCACTCGTTTCATTCATCACCCTACCCTTATTAGATTAGGAATTGATAAGCATGTAGAAAAATTATTCAAGGGAGTTGGCATGAGCGGTTTCTTTAGCATGCATTACGATACTTATGATTATTTAACCTTAGAATTCGTTTATAGTTTTAATGTCATAAAATCAAATGCTTTAATTTCTCATGTCCAATTTCGATTATTCAATAATGATATTAGATTGACATTGAAAGAATTGGTAAAATTTTTGAGTTGAAATCGGATAGGCCCCTTGAACCGCCCCAAGACAACATTGTCGTTGTCTATCAATCCCTTACGGGGGATCCTAATTTGAACCTCCAACATGCTAAAGGCACTTGGATACAACATCCCGTGCCAAAGATTTGGCAACGGTTTGTTGGCCTTACCATATTTGGAAGGCATGAACCCGCCAATGTTAGGCGGGGTGAGCTTGAATTACTAGGGTCATACATGATCCCTAGGAGTGAAAAGCTCAATATAGTCCATAAAATGGCCAACCACTTCCAACGGGAGGCCAATGCGGCCGAGGCGGGTAGGTCTAGGGTACCCATTTACTTTGGTGGCCTAGTTACACATATAGCGGTCAAACACCTTAGCTTTGTCCCTAACGATGACGGTAAGGTAGCCGGCCCAACTATTATGGACCTACCCTATCTAGGTGGCCTTAATTGGGTTAATTTCATGGGAGGGGAGACTTGGTGGGTGATTCAACGGGAATCGGGTAGGAGAGATAATGCTTTCACTTTACCCCACCTCACCTTGACCAAATTTGAGAAGGGGAAGCCTTCTTACACTTTCGAGCTTAACGGTCAAGGTGAGGTGCAACCACCTCACCCTTCACCTGAACCCCATCACTCTCCCATTGACCACTCACCTGCTCACCATTCACCACATTATCCACCACCTCAACCCTTTACATACGATATTCCCACTTCCTCTACGATGACGGTAAAGGCCCCTTATGACTTCTCGACTTTTAGGAGCCAATTAGATAGGATTGAGATGGGCCAAGGGCGAGTTGAGGGTATGGTTAGAGATTTGGATACTAGAGTAGGGTCTCTAGATCGAAGGGTAGGGTACGTGGAGAGGAACCTAGGGAGGGGTTTATACCCCATGTATGATGACTATGCCCGTCGGGGGGCTATTCCCCCCGATTCACTTGTCCCTGATTGGTTCCAATATCCGCAAGGTGGATATACGAACCCAAGTGCCTTTGGTAACTACGTTGACTACTCATCGGTCCATGGTTATGGGACCGATGTACCTTTTGGTGGGCTTGGGGGGAATGTGGACCCTAACTACTTTGCAGGTGGTTCGGGTTATGGAGGTGGTGGCTCTAGCCACGGAGGTGGTGGTTCTAGCCACGAAGGGGGCTATTCGAGGATGGATGAGGATGAGGAGTAGGCTACTCTCCCAAGTCAATGAGGGCATTGCTTGATTTGGCTTGGGGGGGTGTTCTTTCGCTTGGTAATTCTCTTCCTTTTCTCTCTTTATTTGCTTTCTAGTATAGTTTTTATTTGCTTTCAAAGTGTACTTTTTATTGCTTTCTTATATATGAAAAATACAAAAAAAAATTGAAAAATAAAAAAAAAATTCAAAAATACGTTCCAATGAATTATGAATCATACTTCCCTGTGCCCCATACTTGAGAAAATTGTTTGATTCTTGGTATTTGATGATAGGCATTGTGGATTAGTTGATCATGATTTGATGTTTGATTGCCTTGAAACCTTTACGTGCGTCAATTTTGTCCAACTACTTGTGAATATAGTGCTTGACTAGTTGATTTGGTTAGGAAATGTGTGATAGTTCCATAGTTCCTGGTATGTCAATGAATTTGAGTATTAGTTTGCAACTATTAGTAATGTTTATATGATTCATTATTATGCACATTGTGGAGGACGAAGGCATTTGTTCTTTTAGGTAGCCTACAGGCATTGTAGATACATTTGTTCCCTTCTTAATACCCATGTTGTTGCCTTGACCTTTCGTTGTTTATTAGCCGCATTACAAGCCTATTTTGCCCCATTGGTTACTAGTCCCAAGCTTGGCTTGGGGGAGCTATTAGTGAGTGAGGTGAGGGAGTTTGTAGTGTGCTTATTATTTGCACAATTTGGGTGGGTTTTGAGAAGTTATTTTGTTGTTGATCATGTTTATTTTTGATGAGTTTGAGAATTATATTTTCTTGAAAAAATAAAGCATGATATTATGAAAAAAAAAAGTTCAAGAAAAAAAAATGTGAAAAAAAATAAGTGAACTTCAAAAGAAAAAAAAGTGTTCAAATGTTCTAGTTTGAGGTTGATCAAAGGAATAATTTAGAGCTTCAATGAAAATTCAAGTTTGGAAAATAAAGTTTGTTTATTCACTCTACTTCTTCATTATTATATCTTATGAGTGAAAATGTAAGTGTTGGGATTGTTTATATTGTTTGGAGTATATTTGGTTGATGTTAGAGTTGGTTATGTAGGAGATGTTGATCATTATTTTGATCATGGGTTTTTGATTGGATTTGGCTCCCTAAAGCATAGCTTTTCTCTCACTTGTTCCCAAATGATTCCTACCCTTTACCCTAGCCTTACATTACAAGCTTTGAAGACCTTCCGACCTTTGTGTGTAGAATTGTATGAATGTGAAAGTGTTGTTTATCAATGCAAGTTATGATTTGACATATTTCGAGTCGACTAGTAGGATTGAGCGTTCATTGTTTTATACACACGAGAGTGTGAGTTGGGAGGGCATTGTTCACATAAAGGGGTTGGATGGAGAGCGATCGAGTACATCTTTTACTCGCCACAAAAATGAGAGTTGAGTGCGTGAGCACTAGTCTTGAATTCTATATGCTCTTGTGGTTTGCTCTATTTGACAATTGTTAGGGAAGATTGGTAATTAGATGGATTAGATTGGTTTATTTTGAAACATGTTTATTTGATTTACCCTGGATCGTTGTGCTTGATTTTTATTAAAGACAACCAAAAACCCGTAAATGGTCATAGGAAGGGGTTTTACGAAACAAAGCCTGAGCCGGGGTCATCTTATTAAGAGATTTAGTGGGCAAAATATTAAGAAGATAAGTGGTCGTCTCTAGAGAATGTGACCAATAGGAAGGGGGCAATGAGGCATGAAATAAGAGTGTGCGTTTGATATTATTTATGGTCCGAATCATACGTTCGGCTTTTCCGTTTTGAGAGGACGTGTGGGGACAAGAGAATCTAAAAACCATACCATTGTCAAGGAGAAACTTTTTGAATGGGTCATTGTCAAATTCGCGACCGTGATCGCTTTGGAATGATTTTGCAGGACGTTCAAATTGAGTTTGCACATATTGTCTAAAGTGAATAAAAGATTGGTAGACTTGAGATTTATAAGCTAGGGGTATGGCCCACACATAATGCGTAAAATCATCAAGAAGTACTAAATAGTATTTATGACCATTAATACTTCTAATAGGAGATGTCCATAAATCGGCATGAATAATATCAAAAGCAGAAAAAGTATTATTATTTGAATCATATAACGGAAGTCTAACATGTTTCCCTTTCTGACATGAATTGCAAAAAGTGGAGTCATGCTCCTTATTACAAGTAATGAGATTATTGCTCCTAAGAAAACTTAAAGAGGAAGCCCCGGGATGTATTAAACGATCATGCCACAGGGTAGCTGCAGTGAGAGTTGTGGCTAGGCAAGTGCTTGGTGAATTTGAGGTGACTGGATAAAGTTCTCCGGTGCTATTGCATCTCGTTATTACCCTCCCCGTGCGAAGATCCTTCACAGTAAAACCATTAGGGTCAAAGTCTATAGGCACCGAATTATCAGAAGTAAATTTACGAACAGAAATAAGGTTCTTAATAATTTGGGGTGCAAGTAGAACATTTTTAAGGGTTAGGGAATTATTTGAGAGGGTGGTGTGACCATAACCAGTAATTGGAATGCGACGACCATTGCCTACTAAAATATGATTATTAGTGCTCAAATTAAAAAGGGGAAGAACTGTACCGGCATTATTGGTCATGTGAGATGTAGCTCCGGAGTCCATGTACCATCCGTTGTCCGGTGGTGTAAAGTTCATCGATGAGTACGCACTTTCGAACTCTGTAGGAGTCATAAGTGGCCCGTAGGCCTGCTGAGGTGGCATCATTGAGTAGGCCTGCTGAGTTGGCCCATGATTGTAGGATGGTGTGGCCTGCCCAGATGTTGGAAAAGGGGCCGGCGGAAGAGCCTACCCTTGAGGTCCATATGGCGGATTGGGCCAAGGGTTTTGAGGAGCCAAAGTTTTGCCATTAGGATGTTGCTGCTGCCAATTAGAAGATTGATGTTGTTGATGTTGCGAAGTCTGTTGCTGTTGACCAGGAGTGCTGCCACGACCCGGAGCTCCACGACCACGCACCTTGCCGCGGTTTTTGCCACCACCACCGCCGCGTCCGCGCCCAGTATCACTACCTCTTCCGGCGATGTTGTTTTGTTGTTGTTGATGCGAGGAATCGGCAGATCCCGAAGGTTGTTGTTGGGCCACAAACGAAGACGGGGCCGGAGTGGACTCATTACTCCGGCGAGTTTCCTCAAGAAGTAGACGGGAGCGTGCGGTGTTGAAGGAGAGAAGGGGATCAGTTTGGGCAATCATGGTTGCTACTGTGTCGAATTCCGATTTTGTAAGACCTGCAACAAGACGAAGTACGAGCTTCTGATCGGAGACGGGCTGATCCACATTGGCAAGCTGGTCCGAAATACTCTTCAGACGCTGGCAATAAGCAGTTACGTTTGGAAAATTCTCAAGATGAAGAACGTTAAACTGATTTTCAAGGTACACCGCCCTTGTGCTCTTATTATCTTGAAAAATTTCTTTGATGCGATCCCAAATTTGTTGTGCGGTGGAGTCCAGTGAGAGGATCATCGTGAGGAGATCGACGTAGATGGTTCCATAGATCCATTGCTTAACAATGGAATCTAATCTTGTCCAAAAAGAATCAGAAATATCAGAAGGCCTCGGTATTTTCGGGTCAATGTGGTCACGAACATTATACTCACATACATGATTTTGGAATAATTCTACCCAACTAGAATAATGAACATTCTAGAAATCTAGAGTGAGTGGGAATGTGGGATTGCATTCTTTATGTTATTAACAGTGAGGGCTGGGTGAAATTTGTTGGCCGGCGGCGGCGGTGGAGGAGGGGGGGTGCTGTCGTCTTTGGCCATGAGAAGTGGGCGGTGTTAGGTGAAGAAGAACGAAAGCGTGGAAAACAGGAAAAAAAAAATAGTATTCCTAGGATCGAAACCTAAAGCTGTGATACCATGTTAGATTTCGGGAAAACTCCTCATCCTGGAGTGTGTACCATTGATTTATATATATAGCGGTTTACAAGAGAGAGTCGTAATCCTATATTATTATGATAAGGATACGAGATATACAAAATATATACAAAATTATCCTAATCTGCGACAAATATTATCTAACAAATATAATATATATCAGTTACCAAGTATGCTTTTCTATCCCCATCCCACTTCTTAATCCTTTCCGAACATAAAACGGAGGCTATACAATGTAAATATAATTTGTTTTAAAAAAAATTCCAACATAAAATAAATATTTTTCGAGAAACTATACAATAGGAATAAAAGTTATTCTGCACATAAATAAAACTAAAAAATTAATAAATAAATAAAATATTGATGATTCTATTTTATGCCAAAAGTAAAGTAATAAAATTAATTATTTGGAAAAATAGATGTCAATTATGAACTACATAATCATTAAATATTATGGTAGTTATATTTCAAACGACAAATATAAAATTTTCAATTTATATGATTTTCTATCCCCCATCCCACCCCTTAATACTTTCCGAACATGACACAACAACTTATTGAGTATTTTTGTCACATCTATATTTAGTATAGGACTAAGAGGATAGAATCTTACCAAGAATTCCAGTGTAGTAGGACAAAGGAACATCAACATGGTGGATTTTAAAGAGGTTGTTAGGTGATATAAGAAGACTGTATTCTTCCCACCTTGTAAAGTAAATATGTCAAGCTATAACGAGAAACTCTTAGTTGATCCCTGATACCATGCATTGATCATCTAGCAATATGTTAAATTTCGAAGCAATATGAAATGAGCCTGGGCAACCCGAACAAGGAGGAGGAGAGTTTGGTCCACAAACAAGGCTTTGGAGCTTCCATACTAAAACCAATTGGCAATAGTAGGAAGTACTCCTCTACCTTTTTAAGTGAAACCATCTCTCCTCTTTCTCCAATATGGGACACTTATAAGTGGGTTACAATGGGTTTCAACACAATACTATTAAATTAAAATTCGAGAAAATAGAAAAACTCGAAAGGTTACCGATCCAACAAGAGTCCTATGGGCAGCAGGCATGTTGTTGTCATCGTTAATAAGATTTTGAATTTAAGGATCACAAGAGATGTAGAGATTCTTCACAAGAATATCATGATAGAACAAGATTCTGTAAATTTAAGCTCAATCTTAGTAGTTTTCACTTCCATGTTTGATTCTTTTGGAAAACATTTGATTACATAATTCTTCAATATTACTTGCTTATTTCTTGCTTCATGATTTTCTTCCTCCATAATTTCTTGTTTTGGACAAGAATGGGTCTTTATTCCACCTTTGATTTATTTATACTTGCATGATAGGCCAAAAATATGGACCATGTTTAGCAATTTAGTACCTCTATTTTGAATTTTGATGATGTATTAGGGACTGCTCTCATTGACTGAACTCAGCTGAACTGAATTGAACTGAACTGAACTGAGCTTTACTGAACTGCACTAAAATGAATATTTTATAAGAGAAGGAAATTAGAAGCTGAGCTGAACTGAATTTCAACGTATGAGAACAGACCCTTAGTTCAAACTAATTCCTCTTAAAGTAAAAAGGTGTTCAAACTAATTCTGTTTTTAATATACGGGTATACAAAAATGACAATGACCCATCCTTTTTAAAAACGAACATATAAATGCATATACTATACACCTGGATGCAAGGTGCACCTAGAATATTTTCTGCTCATTTAATTTTATATCTACTCAGTTTAAAACTTTAAACTAGTAAAATGAGCCAAAAAAAAAAACAAATAAACTAAAAAATTACCCTTGAGTACATCTACCTCTAATAAATTGGTTAAATTATTTGGTCTGTGACTGTTATTTGAAAAATTAAAACTTTTAGTAATAAAAATATTTTTAGTAGTTTTCTTTTAGGTCAAGTTTTTCCTTTTTTATAAAATAAAAAATCAAATTACATAGTAGTTACACTACTAGAAATAGGATAAATATCGACGGATAGGTTCCGACGGACCTATTTTTTCGTCGCAAACTTCAATAATTTCGACGGAATATATTTCGTCGGAATTTATCGACGGATTTCTTATGGTTCGACGAATTTTCCGTCGTAATATTTCCGACGAAACTATTTTCCGTCGTGAATTCCTTTTTCCGACGGAATATTTTGTCAAAAATAATTTTGCGACGGAAAAGTCCGTCGGAAGATGTTTTACGACGGAAATTAGTTCCGTCGGAAATAATCAGATTTTTTTTAAAAATTTGGCAATTTCAATTTTAACCTAAAAACAAAGGGGGGGAATTTTTGGAGTCGTTTCACAGAAGAAAGAGAAGGAGAGAGAAAGAGAGAGGGAAAGAGAAATAGGGTACCACACCACCGCAACCTCCGCCCTCCGTCACGCAACCTCCGCCCTCCGTCACGCAACCTCCGCCCTCCGTCACGCATCTGTCGCCGTCGATGACCCAAACGGAGCCCACATTGTAAGAGAGAAAGAGGACGAGTAGGAGAAAGAAAAAGAGGACGAGAAGGAGAAAGAGGGCGGTTGAAGGGGCGGCTTGTTTCCGTCGAGCCTCCGTAGCCGCGTTACAAGGTCAGTTTACACTTTTTTTTTGGTTTTTGTTTTTTTTTTATTTACATTCAAATCTGACTTTCTTTGCCCTGACCACCACAACCGCAGTCTCCGGCCTCCTCCCTTCCCTTGCCGTGGCTGGTTGTTGTTGTCGGCGCCGCGCCAAGGTCAGTTTCCCCCACTTTTTTTTTAATTTTTTTTTGTTTAATAATAAACCCTTATTTATTTAATTTATTTTTTTTAAAATATTGTAGGATTTGTACAATTAGATGGTTTAATTGTCAAAAAGTAGTGCAGATCTAAAGGTTAGTCACATTACAAACCCTAATATTTTGTATGTATGTTAGTTTGGTTTGGTTTTGTTTAACATAACTTAGTTTAGTTAAGTTTTTTCTAATATAATGTGTTTTAGTTTAGTTTAGTTTATTTTTTTTTTGAAAGTATGTTAGTTTAGTTTAGTTTACTTTTTTGTAAGTATGTTAGTTTAGTTAATTTTTATTTTTTTTAATATAATGTGGTTTAATTTAGTTTAGTTTTACTAAAGTATATTAGATTAGTTTAATATTATGAAACTTTAGTTTAGTTTATTTTAATATAATGTGGTTTAATTTAGTTTAGTTTTACTATAGTATATTAGATTAGTTTAATATTATGAAACTTTAGTTACGTTTTGTTCGTTTTGTTTAATATGATGTATGTTAGATTACTTTAGTTCATTATAGGCCCTGTTTGGTGGTAGCATTTGAGGTAGCGGTTAGCGTTTTGACCAGTCAAAACACTACTAGAAAAAATTTGAGAGTGTTTGGCAAGGTAGCAATTTTAGTAGCGGTTAGCGATAGAGGTAACGTTTATGTAGCTTTTCTCAAACGTTAAAAATAGTAGCGTTTAGAAGTAGCGGGTAGTGTTTGACAAATTTTTATTAATTTTAAAACAATGTTTATATGAATTTCGATATATTTTGGTATTGCAACCGCTACTTTTGCCAAACACTCATACTATCAACCGTTACTTTGACAGCTAACCTCTACCCACACTAATTGACTGCTACTCGCTACCTTAAAAACTACCCGCTACTCGACCGCTAAAAGCTACCCGCTACCGCTACTTTTACCAAACAGGACCATAATCTAGTTTAGTTTTGTTTAGTTTAATATAATGTTTCTTACTTAAGTTTAATTTTTTTATAATGCATGTTACTAGATTTAATATTATGATATGTTAGTTTAGTTTAGTTTGGTTTGGTTTGATTTGGTTTATATTAATGTTATGGTTTTATGATATGTTTCTCTTGTTTAGTTTAATCTTGATATATTTGTTTAATATTATGTATGTTAGTTAAGTATATATATTTTTAAATAAATCATTTGCATAATAATATACCTAGATACCCGTTCAAGGCATACACATTAGGAGTATGTCTTGAATAGTCCCCGGTTGGGACTGTCCTTGTACGTTTGTTCTCACTTAGGTGGTGAATGTATTCCTTTGTTTTAATTCTAAGGAAGATCCTTGCTTGTCATTTCTCTACAATGTTCTCTAGGTACATATATAGGTGTTTCTAATCGCCTATATTGTGTACTTGGGGAACTGTAGGGAGATGCTGCCGGATTTTCCATAGAATTGAAATCCTGGCATACATTCACTAGTGAGATTGAACGTCCAAGGATGGATTAGGTTGGAGTGATAAGGACCCTTGGAAATCATTTCTCTTCTCAAATTATAATTTACGACGGAAGTTCCTGTCGGAAAATATTATTTACGACGGAAGTTTTTGTCGGAAATATATAATCTGTGACGGAATTTTCTGTCGGAATAGTATAATTTCCGACGGAAAAGTTCCTCGCAAACTATATTTTACGACGGAATTTTCCCTCGCAAATTATAATTACTGACAGAAATTTCCGTCGGAATTTTATATTTGTGACGGAAAATTCCGTCGGAAAATATAGTTTGCGAGGAACTTTTCCGTCGGAAGTTTTAGTTTACGACGGATCTTTTTCCGTCGGAAAATTGCGACGGATCATTAATCAAGGCCAAATTCAAGTGCGACGATGTTAATTCCGTCGGAAGGAAGGTTTATGACGGAAATTCCGTCGGAATATGGCCAATTTCCTACAAAGGGGTTTTCGACGACCCGTTACGACGGAATTCCGTCGGAACCCTTCTTTCCGACGGATATGGCATAAGTTCCGACGAACTTTTTCCGTCGCAATTTTGTTGTTTTCTTGTAGTGTTATACCCTATGGAATAATGTAATTTATTAGGATATTGAAATATATGAGGTATTAATGTACATATTTAGTAAGTATGATTTCTTTCCTTTTTTTTTGACAGTGAGAACTAGCAAGAAAACAAACAACAAAAAAACAAACTAAAAAGACCAAATAAGAAACTCCCGACGCCTAGCCTTCCCTGCCAACCAATGAGCCGGAGCGACCCAAAGCCTGGGCACTTTCTGAATCCTACAAGCCTCAAACGAGGTCAATAAGGATAGTAGATCCTGAAGAAGCCAAAGCAACGAAATATCAACCCGACTCTGACCAGCAGCAACCTGGCATAAGACCACACAATCCGTATAAATAAGCACCCGTCGATAGCCTCTCCTGAATGCATTACGCAACCCCCAATAACAAGCGAGCAACTCAGCATGAATAGCCGAAGAAGCACAAGTAGCACGAGCACCTCCTCCTAGAACAAGAGATGAGTCGGGAGTCCGAAAAACCCAACC